TCTAGAATGAGGGACTGAGATTCCTTTCCAGGCGGGCTCGTGCTCCTCCAACCGCATAATCCGAAGGACATTCTATGGCCAAGTTTCCGACTATTTCACGACATACCATCCCCCCATGCTGTTCACGCGCGCGATGTGCTGCTATTATTTCCCATTTTTTCCCTCAAGAAAAGGCTTTTAAATTATGAGGAAAAACACAAAAGAAAAAAAAAACAGAGAAATAATAACAAATTTTTGTTAAAATTTCTTACTTAGCATTTAGTAATTTTAAATTTTTTATGAAATTCTCTTCGTGAAAAAAATGTCCTGTTTGCATGGTCTATTCCTTATGCCCACCGACAAGAATATAAATACGATTTTGAAATTGGATACATATTTTGTATATAATTTAGGGTTTAAGTAAGAAAATTTGGAAAACATTAATTTCAATATGTCTCTTGAATTTGAAAAATAAAAAATGATTTATTTAATATAATTTTTTGTATCATATATATATAATCTATGTTTTACGATTTTTTTTGTTGGCAAAAAAGTTTCTTTTTTATTATTATTTTTATAAAATAAATTTTATTTTATTTTTTCACTTTGTATTTCATACATTATATGAGAAATATCTATGAAATCATAACCGATAAATGACAGATATATCTGAGCGTCAAACAAATTTCAATTATTTGATATTAACTACAAATATGTTAACTTTTGTGTCAGATGAATGGCCCGTTTAGAATAACTTATAATTAGCTTTTTAATCATAATTAACGAAATACAAAATAAATATATGAGAAGAGATTTATTTTGACTTACGTAAAAAGTACTTATAAGTAATTTTTAAAGCTATACCAAACAGGTTTGAATTGGATTTTGATTTTGCTTATATACATCAAAATTTTGACTTTATATGATCAAATGTTGGCATCTACTTAGTACTATTCAATTTAGTTTTGATAATTTTTGGTATTACATAAAATATTTTATCTATGTTTAACGGTTTTTATTTTTTGTATAAATCAGTTTTAATTTATTTATTTTTCATATTCACTACTTCACACGTTATTTTAAAAATATGAAAAAATTAATCTTTTAGTCCCTATGCGTTTAACTCATTTGTAACTCAATCCTTACACTTTGATGTAATTCAAACCTTATAGTTTTGACTCAATTGTAATTTAATTCTTAAACTACAATTCAACCTTTGTAATTTTAATCATTTTATAACTTAGTACCCATCTTTATTAGATATATAATTTAATTGTTTTGAAAGCGTAGGGACTAAACTTGATTTGTCTCTTCTGGTCAAAAAAATTTGATTTGTCCCTATCATTGTTTATTGATGCACATTAGCACTTGACATCTATTGAAAATCTATTTATTTAACCCATGTTGCCTCGCTTGATCATCCATATATTTTCGAATTCTTCATCTTTAATCCCTTGTTAATTTCTTGTAAATTAGCTGTTAGATTCTGGATCCTTGTGCTAAGATATTTAGTAATGTTATTCATCTAATTAAATACTATAAGTGAAATATAACAGATTTAATTTATACTATCTGAATAATCCGGGCATCAAGATATGTTTGAATTTTCAAATCAAATTTATCAATTAAATTAGAATTTAATCTATTATCCAATATAGTAAATATATGATAAAGATTTAAATGTATTTAAATTCAAGTCATATATATTATCTAATTAATTGAGATAATGGAAAAATTATGATGAATGAATGTATCTATAATGGATATATATATGAATATTTTGTGTTCCCAAAATATCTCTATCCATCTCCATATATAGTGGCTCCCTTCATTTACAAATCATTGTGTGCGCAACTGATGGGCTTTATTTCTTCCTCCCTCTCATCCTTTCCATCTTTTAATATTGTATTATCTCAAAAAAACTCGTTTGATTTTTATTTTGATCATAAATATAAAATATCAATTGATTTGGCCTATCATATTTATCTATTTTTTTAAAGGTGGTCTTTGTAACAATGGTAGTTTTAGCTAATATACTTGATTAGCAAAAATATTTTAAGAAAGACAATACTTAGTTATTACAAATAACTAACTTAATTAATTTATTTAATATAATCGAACTAATTAATTAGCTCTTATATTAAGAACTAGAGATAGTATTTGCTTCCTATTATTTTAATCTGAATACCATATTTGATATTGTCATCTGGAGCAGCCTGGTTTTACTGTGTTTTCGATTTCACTTATCTTTCCAGATTGAAGTAAGGTAATTATTTATCTATTCACATATTTGTGTGTTGCTTTTATTCTACTTCTAATTATATTTTAATTTTAACGAAAAAGCAAGCAATTAATTTTTTCTAAAAACTATGAAGATGTTTTTAGAAAAAACTAAAATACTTATTTTTAGACCTTTTAATCACAAGAATTGTCATAACTTCACACAGCTTGTGAAATTAAAGCGATTATTCATGTGCATGGGTGAATTTTTTCTTTTTTCAGGGGGAGGGGTGAATGTCTAATTTATTTGACATATTGACGCTGTATTGTTCGATAATTGTTTGTTTCTTATAATATATATGATATGTGTGTGTGTTCCATCACTTGCGCTTTGTTAATTCTTCTTCAGGGTAGAGGCAACTCAAATAAATTAAATAAAAAATAAAGGGAAAATGCCAGAAAAATGCACCTCCAACTCCAAAAGCCCAAAAACGTCCGCCGAATTTCAGTAATTCCGTTTTGGTACCAGCAGACCATTCTGGGATTATTTTCTTAGACAAAAAGACCAAACCGCCCTCAGTGTTATTTTAAACAAAAGGTGGGAACAGAGGCGGTTTTTCGACTCTCTCATTCTCGACCCCTGTTGCAGCCGACGGAGCGAAGAAGAGAGGAGAAGAGAGCGGAGGAGGAAGCTACTACCGGCGTCGAAGAAGAGAGAGAGAGACGAAGGAAGAGCGTTTGGTGGTCACCGTCGAAGAAGAGAAAGGAAAAGAACGACGGAACGGCTACATTGCGGCAATCGATCGAAGGTGAGGAAGAGAGAAAAGGAGGAATTTGCGGTGAGACAGAGGTAAGTTTGTTAACATTTCTTCCTTCTCTGTGTTTGTTCAAGTTATATATTTGATATTGCTACTACTTTTAAGATGTCGATCGAATGTGTGTGAGAGGGAGTGGGCAGTTTCTGGAGATGAAAATGACAAAGTGAATGTGCAGAAAGTGGAGGACCCACTAGATTGCTTGCATTTCACCATATGATGACTGATATACTTTCAGGAGTGTGGACCACATACACAGCCCACAGCCCCGTACCTTTTCTTTTCTTGTTAATGATTTCACTGTTTCATCACTACTTTATCTCTACCTTTTTGTTCTTTTCATTCACATTTCCCACTCCTCCAGCCCAGCCACCAAGCTATTCCTGTCAGCTTAATTAACATCGATGACACTGTTATCTCTATGGACAATAATTGTCTTTCATCTATTAGCCTAAGTTAAATGCATATTAGTATAATTGTATAGTTTGATTTAAGGTATGAATCACAGTGATGGTGTGGGGGAGTGTGTATAAGGGTGTAGAGGGCGCCAAACTTAAAATAATTATTTGAAAAAAAGGTGAATGTACCCACTGTCATGTAAATATATATATGTTGTTAATCCCTACACTGGAGTTGTAAAATTGTAACCGAAGTTGGAGAAAAGGGTTTGTGTTTTCTTGAAAATGCTGTTGTGAATAGCCATACTGAAGTTGTAAAAGTATATGTAGATGTTGTTAAGCCGTACACAAGGGTTGTAAAGTTGTAACCGAAGTTGGAAAAAGGGGTCTGTGTTTTGTTGAAAATACTGTTGTGAATAGTCATACTGAAGCTGTAAACATGTATATAGATGTTGTTAATACCTACACCGAAGTTGTAAAATAGTAACCCCGAAGTTGGAAAAAGGGGTCTGTGTTTTCTTCAAAATGCTGCTGTGAATAGCCATACTGAAGTTGTAAATACTTATATAGATGTTGTTAATCCCTACACTGGAGTTGTAAAATGGTAACCGAAGTTGGAGAAAAGGGTTTGTTTTCTTGGAAATGCTGTTGTGAATAGCCATACTGAAGTTGTAAAAGTATATATAGATGTTGTTAATCCGTACACAAGGGTTGTAAAGTTGTAACCGAAGTTGGGAAAAGGGGTCTGTGTTTTGTTGAAAATACTGTTGTGAATAGTCATACTAAAGCTGTAAACATGTATATAGATGTTGTTAATACCTACACCGAAGTTGTAAACTAGTAACCCCGAAGTTGGAAAAAGGGGTCTGTGTTTTCTTCAAAATGCTGCTGTGAATAGCCATACTGAAGTTGTAAATACTTATATAGATGTTGTTAATCCCTACACTGGAGGTGTTAAGTTCTAACCGAAGTCGGAAAAAGGGGGTTTGTTTTCTTCAAAATGTTGTTGTGAATAGTCATACTTAAGTTGTAAATATGTATATAGATGTCGTTAATCCCTACACTGGAGTTGTAAAGTTGTAACCGAAGTTGGAAAAAGGGGTCTCTGTTTGCTTGAAAATACTGTTGTGAATAGCCATACTGAAGTTGTAAACATCTATATATATGTTGTTAATACCTACACCGGAGTTGTAAAATAGTAACTCCGAAGTTGGAAAAAGGGGTTGTGTTTTCTTGAAAATGCTGTTGTGAATAGCCATAATGAAGTTGTAAATACTTATATAGATGTCGTTAATCCCTACACTGGAGCTGTTAAGTTCTAACCAAAGTCGGAAAAAGGGGTCTGTGTTTGCAACAAAATGTTGTTGTGAATAGTCATACTGAAGTTGTAAATACTTATATAGATGTTGTTAATCCCTACACTGGAGGTGTTAAGTTCTAACCGAAGTCAGGAAAAGGGGTTTGTTTTCTTCAAAATGCTGTTGTGAATAGCCATACCGAAGTTATAAATAACTATATAGATGTTGTTAATCAGAAGTTCCTAATTGTTTTCTGACATGCTTGTATTAATGTGTAATGTGCAGAAAAAATGGTGTTGGAGGGAGAGACATCAACTTCAAAAGGGCCAAGGAATGGGTATGTCTTATTTAGAGAGGAATTTGCTCAAGGGAAAAAATTCAAGGGTGTAGTAGATAGAACTAACAAGGCGAAAGAGGCATGGGCAAGGCTCTCTATTAAGGAGAAGAAAATATATAGTGAAAGGGCCAAACAAATGAGGCCGGAGAAGAAGAAGAGTAAGAGAGTATGGAAAATGTTCACCCGTTGCTCTGTTCGTCAATTCATGTCACTGGCGGAATTTGTTAAGAGTGATGAAAGTTTAAGACAAAGGATAGAGAACATAGGATTCTCTAAGTTGTTGGATGTGGAAATTGACAAACTCCCACGTGAGTTAATTGTAGCTTTCATTCAATCGTACGATCCAGCAACACATCAGTTCCGATTAAGGGGGAGGACAGAAGAAGTTGAGGCAAACGATGTGGGAACATTGCTTGGTGTGCCCCATACTGGGGAAGAGGTAAAAGGAGATGTTGATGAAAATCATGACACATATAAGAAGCTGAGGAGAAAGTATTTAAATGTTGTTTATAGCAAGATATTAGCTGACATAAAAAGTGGGACGGATGATGAGCATTTTGAACTATTATTTATGTTGGTCACACTTGGCACATTTCTAGCTCCAACTTCAAGTGCAAGAGTTGGTGAGAAGTTATTAAGGGTGGTATGTGCAACTATGAATGGATATGAACAGTATGATTGGGCAACGTACATCATGAATGACCTCTACAAGGAAATGGAAGATTATGTGAATTTGTTCAGGAAGGAGAGGGATCCGTGCTGCACTGTGGGTGGCTGCCTGTACTTCTTGGTGGTATGTTTAGAGCAAAACATGTTGTTCAATGTTAATGTAACTGTTTAATTCAATTGGCTAATGCGGTGTGTTCTATGATTGTGGTTGCAGCTATATTTGGGTGAGAAATTCCCATTGTCAAAAGCTACTAACCATGACCCAACAAATGCTATTGCATATTGGACGGATAAGAGAATAAAGGAATTGGTCAACAAAGAGTCAAAGAGTAACATAGGCCTATTGTACAAAGGGAAGTCTACAAAAGTGGTCGAAGATACAATAAGTGTTGCTCATCTACGACCGGTATGTTTATAGTTTTGTATGTATAAAATTCATTAATATGTAAAGAGTTTAACTGTTTAGCAAATGTGTTAGCAGGAATTGAAGCAAGTGCATCGAAGGATGATGGATGCACTTGAGGAAAGCCATAAAAGGCTTAGTAACCAATTTGCAGAGGAGCTTATGAAGGTGCAGCTCCATCTACAGGGGATGCCAAGTTCAAATCTGAGGGACCTTGTTGACAACACACGCGATGAGGCAGTGATTCTTCCATCTGATGGTAAAGGTGAAGAGGGAGGTAGTGACAAAGGTTATAGTGATGGAGATACTGCTGAAGGTGAAGCCCATGATCAGGAAAGAGGTAGTGATGAAGGTGATGAGGATGGAGAGGAAGGAGACAGTGAGAAAGGTGATGATGAAGGAGATAAAGGGGTGGAGTCATCAGATGAAGAGACTGACAAGGGAGAAGACCAAAGGCCATCAAAGAGAACAATCATTCCAAGTCGTCAAGTAACTTCTCCATGGATTTCCATGTTGAAGCCTGTTAAGAGGAGAAAGAGAGTGATAACTGAGAAAGACAAGTTTTTCAACATTGTCTCTCGTATGTGTTCACGGGAGGAGGGTCAGAAGTAAGATATGCCGTGCATGGAACATTGAAAGCAGGAAATTTTTTTCATCTTGTTTTGTTATTGTTGTTTTACTTACATATGATGTATACATTGCAGGATTATGGTTACAATGTGTGATGAACAAATTGATCGGGATCAATTGCGCACGATAGGTGGAATCGAAAGAGTGAGTAGCCCTCTAATAACAATGGTCGGTAGGGCATTAATGGCAGAGGCAGGTGAGGGAGGACAAGTGAGGCGACACATTTTTGATGCTGAGTTCATGGTGAGCCCTGTGGTGTGTACGGTTTGTTTGACAATTACAGGTTGTGATGATTAAACTAATATGTTGTTTTGTAGATGAAAATGCTTGGTAACCCTTCTCAGTGGCGAGCATCAGAGAACAAACGTGCTATTTTGCCACAGCATATCGGGTACAACCTAGGTGACTGTGATTTAATATTTGGACCCGCAATTGTTGAGTCTCACTGGTTTTGCTTTGTGTTGGAGCCAAAAACAATGCATTTTTATGTCCTGGACTCCATGAGGCTGCCTAATGATATGCCAAAGAAGACCAAGAAGAAGGATTCATTGGAAGAAAAAAGGATGTTTCATCTTCATGCATGTGTAAGGACTAAACTAATGTATCTGTGTATCACAAGTGCCCAATGTTTCCACCTTTTTATCTCATATTTTGGATTTCTGTTGTTGGTTTGCAGAGAGACAACTTTTATGATATAATTGCATTAGTCAGACCTCAACTTGTTGGGAAGAAGCCTAAGACTGATATTATTTTTGCACCTGTTCCACAACAGAACAACTTGTATGTTGTGTTGACTGTTGACATTGTTTTCTAGTTTAAGATGTGAATTGCAGAAGCAGACATACTAACTTAAATGTTTTATTTCCCATTGGATGTATAGGAGAGATTGTGGTGTTCATGTGTTGATCTGGCTAAGCAAATGGGTCCCGGATGTGACATTTGACTTCAATGAGGTATGAAAGTTGTCTATAATTAATGATTAATTATTTGCCAGGTACGGTGAACATTAACATATGGACCTGTCTTATATGCAGAATCATGTAGCTGAGTTTAGGCGTGAGCTAATGTGGTGGCTAGTTAATCATCCGCAAAATTCAAGTCGTGAAGAAGCCTTAACTCTCCTCTCAGAACAGCAGAACAAGACAACCACCAAAAGACGACGTTTGTCATAGTACTTAGTAGGAGGTTCCTTTTACATGTCTATGTGACACTCTGATGTAGTTCCATGTTATTTAACTTGGGAGAACATTTATGTACATGGCAGAAGGACTGATTTCAAGATTAGTAATTGTGTCTTGTTAGCAACGGGTTCATACCATTTGCGACATTAGTAGTCAGACTTTATGGTAAATTTTAACAGCAGCATTATATATGTTTCCAACTTGTGTATCGATTTTCACAACAGCATTCACGAGATGAAAACAAGTACCCCTTTTTACAACTTCAGTGAAGCTTTTAACAACTTCAGTATAGGTTTTTCACAACTCATGTATACCCGTTAAGTAATGGGTCCCTTGCACGCCCACACCCAAGTGGGAAACGTGTTGAAGATCGGGGAGAAATTTTACAACTCCAGTGTATGCATTAACAACATTATTATACTATTTTACAACTTCAGTATAGGTTTTCACAACAGCTTTCTGAAGATGGAAACAAATACCCCCTTTTACAACTTCGGTGAAGCGTTTAACAACTTAAGTATAGGTTTTTCACAACTCAAGTATACCCGTAAGCTAACGGGTCCCTTGCACACCCACACCCTCGTTGGAAACGTGTTGAAGATCGGGGAGAAATTTTACAACTCCAGTGTATGCATTAACAACATTATTATACGATTTTACAACTTCAGTATAGGTTTTCACAACAGCTTTCTGAAGATGGAAACAAATACCCCCTTTTACAACTTCGGTGAAGCGTTTAACAACTTAAGTATAGGTTTTTCACAACTCAAGTATACCCGTAAGCTAACGGGTCCCTTGCACACCCACACCCTCGTTGGAAACGTGTTGAAGATCGGGGAGAAATTTTACAACTCCAGTGTATGCATTAACAACATTATTATACGATTTTACAACTTCAGTATAGGTTTTCACAACAGCTTTCTGAAGATGGAAACAAATACCCCCTTTTACAACTTCGGTGAAGCGTTTAACAACTTAAGTATAGGTTTTTCACAACTCAAGTATACCCGTAAGCTAACGGGTCCCTTGCACACCCACACCCTTGTTGGAAACGTGTTGAAGATCGGGGAGAAATTTTACAACTCCAGTGTATGCATTAACAACATTATTATACTATTTTACAACTTCAGTATAGGTTTTCACAACAGCTTTCTGAAGATGGAAACAAATACCCCCTTTTACAACTTCGGTGAAGCGTTTAACAACTTAAGTATAGGTTTTACACAACTCAAGTATACCCGTAAGCTAACGGGTCCCTTGCACGCCCACACCCTCGTTGGAAATGTGTTGAAGATCGGGGAGAAATTTCACAACTCCAGTGTATGCCTTAACAACATTATTTTAAAATTTTACAACTTTAGTATCGGTATTCACAACAGCTTCCTCAAGATGGGGGAAAAAACCCTTTTCACAACTTCGGTTAACCTTTTAACAACGTCAGTATAAGGTTATCACAACGCAGGTATACCTGTTACCACCTGGTATACAGGCGTGCTTACGCCCTCTTTAGAAACGTGTTTACAGACTAAACCCACTTCAATATGCGTTCCCAACAGCATTTCCAATAATGACTAAACCCACCATATTACAACTTCAGTAAACCATATAACAACCACTAAATAATGTTTCAACAACTCGAGTAAAAGTTTAACAACTGTCATAAAACAAAATGATTAGTAATACCCATATTTTTAACTCAGTTCAAATGAAGTTCATATACGATGATCATACTTAAAAACATAAAATATAAGGCAACAATATCAAACATGAATAATAAGGGGACTCGTCTTGCAACTTCTGTCATTGTTAACAACACAGTTAAAGGAAATAACAACTTCAATATAGGTATTTTCCTATAACCAGATCCTTCCTGACAGTACTTACAATCAGTGACAGGCTAACATTAATATTTCATCCCCACTTAATGTTTTCTTGTCACTGACATCAAAATACACATTTCACTGACTATGTGTGACTTACGATGTCGACTTCCCACATGACACAACCCTTCATCCAAAAAAATATGAAGAGTTGCAAAATATTTACAAGCCACAACAAAAAATAACCTTTACAAAATAAACCCACACGTGGACTACCAATTTTAACTTGGGTTTGGATTTCTGCATGTTCTTTTACTATGCCCAGGTTCATGACACTGTCCACAGTGGTAAATCTTCCTGTTTTGGAATTGGGATTCCCGCCTCCTAATTCTTGGCCTTCCCGAAGGTCTACTAGTTGTAGGTGGGTATAGCCACACTTGGTTTCCCATATTTTGCAGCATATAATCATTAGGATTAGGCCTGTCAATTGTCACTACTGGAATCATGGTGTTCCCATAAATCTTCTCTTGGGATGTTATTTTATAACAGTCCTCCACAAAATCATACACATTTGCATGAACCACCCTTATTGCAGCACAAGCGTGTGGACACGGAATCCCTGTCATTTGCCATGCAGCACAAGTGCATTCATGTGACTGAACATTGACATATAAGGCTCCACGCGAAGTATGTACACAGACCCTACCACCTCCATAAGGTTCACCATGCATATGAATCGATCTAGCCACATTTTCCATCACTTTTCCATCAATGTTTGGACCCACACCATTTCTCCAGTTCCTCATTGCCACACTTGCTGCGAACATCTTCCTTGCAACCTTCTCACGATGTTCATGAATAAGTTGGGCAACATTATGCTGCCTTTCCTTTACAATCCAAGCATTGAATGACTCAGCAATGTTCGTTGTTATGTTATCCCACCGTTTATATGCAAACTTGCTCATTGCCCACTTATGAATATCACCATGATTGTTAAGCCACTGAAGTAACTGAGGACTGAAATTTCCCATCCTTGTCATTGCCTTATCAAACTCAACGTTAACCCTTGCATATGCAATGTCATCAAGCAACTTTAATCCAACTTCCTTACTAATACCACTAGTTCTCCTCCTACCTCTGTATAATTTATTCATTTCAGAGCTGAAATTTTCCTTCACGTGTCTATAACAGTATGCATGACGGTCACCTCCAAATATTGCTCCAACAGCTCCTATTATTGCATTGTGACGATCTGACACAATAATTAATTGGATTGCACCAACTATCTGTTTTATCATGTTTAAGAACCATGCCCACTCCTCATAAGTCTCTCCTTTCACAATAGCATACGCGAATGGTAACAATTCATTGTCCGCGTCATATGCTGAGGCTGATAGCAGTGTTCCCCTATATGGTCCACTCAAATGTGTTCCATCTATGTACAGTATATGTCTTGCCCCAGACAAAAAACCCTCTATGCAACAACCATATGCTATGAAAACACGCTCAAATATATTGTTAACAGTTGCTACCCATTCAGCTACCGTCTTCTCATCGGTTTCCTTCAATCGTTGACATATCCATGGTATCAACATGTATGACTGTTCAGGCCTCCCTTGTATTTCCTCTAATGCTTTTTCCTTAGCCCTATATGCTTGCTTATATGTCAACTTCACACCATAATCCCTTGCCAAGGTCCTCCTTATTTCATTTGGACGCTTTTCAGTGTGATCCCTTACCTCCTCAATGATAATTGATGATGTCAAGGCTGCTCTTCCACCATGTGTAACTTGCATCATCTCTTGGGCATTATGCACATGTTCATTACTCAGTCGAGTTACAACGAGGAAAGGACTTCTCTTCGCAGCTACTCTTGCTATTATCCGCCAAGGACAACCTTCAACTTTGCATTTCACATGCACACATTCCTCACAATTTTTTACATATTTGTACTCGAAGTTTTCTGCAATACTAAACTTATATACTGCCTTTCTGAATTCTGTGGCATTTGCAAAAGTTTGCTTCTTTCCTAACAACAATTCCTTCCACTTCACAGCATTCATCTCGGGCATTGGTGTTGGTGCAATCTCTACTGTACTTACTAGCCTCACATGACATCCCCCACCGCCTTCTCTTACACAGTCACCCCCATTTTCATCACAAACTGTTCCGTCCATATTATTCTCCCTACTTGACAAAAAACACATTTGTTGTGACAATCCCAAGTAGTTGTCAATGCTGCATGCATAATTACAACTTTTGTTAGCAAATTCACAACAACAATATAACAAATAACAACTAAAATAACCATAAAAAAACAAGTCTCACATTTGTGGATCATCCATTACTTCCGGTGTACTCTCCTTCAATGCTAGATACACATGTGCACTAGTGTCATTATACTGAAAAAGATTATCAACTTCACTATCATCAACCAAATCTACTAATGCCTTATCATCGAGGCTCACTGTATATTTCATGTCACAAATATTAACATCTATATCAAACCATTCCAATATCATTAACCTCAACTCTTCGTATCTTATCCCCTGTTTTATCGTTCTAACTCTCACACTCCCACCATTGTATCTCATTTCACCTTCAACATTATTAACAAAGTTTCCACCAAGATGAAAAATCAACGCAAGTGTCTTTGAATATGTTGACCCAATATTGCAACTCATTCTGCATTATACCCTGCAACAAACAAGGAAAATATTTCATCACAATGTCATCTCTGTAAAAAGGATATTTCATAAACCCAACACAGCTACTTTCAAAGTTAACAACTTCAATATATCGTTTCACAACTCCACTTTAACTATTAACAACACCCTTCACAACCTCATTACTATGGATATTCAGCCTACTTATATACGTGATCATCGCAGCGCTTCTTCCAATTTCCCTCAGCTACCATCTGCTATCCCCAAAAACAGATCATTATAAACACCGTCCCAGACTAAGCTAACTCTATCACTCACTACCCGACTCATACGTTCCATTCCCACAAGTTAAAAACAACAACCAATACCTCCAGATGAATCAACTTACGATTGCTACAGCATCGTCTCCCTCTTAAGCTGACAAAACTAACTTGGCCAGAACCCTAACCTTATCTAACATTAATCAACTCATTTGTTCAGATTGATGACCATTCTCACACCTAAAAAAGGAAAAACCAACACCCCAATATGAAGAACGTATGCCTTACGTAATGCCGCCCCTTACCTACTCTGAACCCTCAACGCCACATACAGAACGCAGGACCACCAAAATGAAG